TGCTACAGCATATAAAACACTAGGTCTTCTACGGAGAACTTTTAGTTCTGCTGTTGATATACCTACTAGGAAGTTGCTATATACATCTTTAATTAGATCAAAGCTAACATATGCTTCTACTGTCTGGCGTCCTCATTTTTTAAAGGACATTTTATTTCTAGAAAGAATACAACGTCGAGCTACTAAGTTCATTTTAAACGATTACCATTCTGATTACAAAACTAGACTCATTAAATTAAATATGTTACCCCTCATGATGACATTTGAACTAGCTGATATTTCCTTTTTTCTAAATAATTTTCACTTCTCTGATTCACCTTCTAACTTTAATGCTTCAAATTATTTCTCTTTTTCGTCTACCTCTACTCGATCATCTACATTTCACAAGTTATCTTTTAATTTTACTTCTCATCACTCCTCACATCACACTTTTTTCACCCTCTTCCCTCGTTTATGGAATTCTCTTCCACCTGTAAAAATTTCTCTATCTAAAGAAACTATTAAATTACACGTAAAGAAAACTTTTTGGACTCACTTTATTGTTCATTTTGACCCTAATAATGTTTGTTCTTATCACTATGTATGTCCTTGCTTTTCTTGTGCCAATCTTCCTGTAAACTCTATGTATTCCTGATTTGTTTATGTTAGTAGTTATTTCATTTTATTTTTATTTTTATTATTTCCTTATTTACTATTCTTATTTTCTCTTTTTTTTCTCTCTCTCTATCTGTTTAATCTTTTTTTGTTTGGCGGTCAGCTCAGGAAGCTGGCTGTCCATCTGTATACATTTGTATACAGTAAAGTTATTTAAAGTTAAAGTTAAAAGTTAAAGCCTTGGGTATTTTTCAGAATCTTGGCATTTTTTTAAATTGGCTGTAACTCAAAAAATTGAAGTTGGAATTAGCTCAAACTTTCTACACAGCATAAGGACATTAATATGTATCAGAATATGTAATAAAAATTGGGAGTGATTTCAGAGCCATTTTTTGAAAAAATGCCTGGGCTATAAGCCCTTTGGTTTTTTCTGAAAATTTGCTAATTGAAAAATGATGATACGTTGAAAGATTGAAGTTGGAATTGGCTCAAACTTTCTACATACATGTACATGCAA